TCTTATGTTATTCTTCTTTGCATCATCTAGCAGCTGCTGGATTTATTTCTCATGTTCCCTTACAATTGTGAAGCAATTTTTCTTTTCCTTGTCATTAATTGCAATCTTATCTTCTATATCTGAAGTTCTGTCCTTACATTGGCTCATTGTGTTGTGTAGACTTTCAATGGAGTTTTCCATCTCCTGGAAATCTATTTGCATTTTTTTTATGGATTCCTTTTGTTTCCTATGTTGGGATTCCAGCATGTTCCTCAGGTCCTCTCTAGATTTATTAATCATGTCTTGCACTAGGAACACATTTTCTCCTGTTATCTGAGAAGTTATTTCTGATTTCATTTTTTCCAGATCCCCTTTTGTTGGCAGTTCAGTGGGTCCAGGTGGTTGAGTATCAGAGTGTTCCATCTCATTTCCCTTTGGGGTTGCTGTAGGTGATCTGGAAGTCTCGGTTTGAGACTTATTTGTGTTTTTTTTCTCATTTCGACTTGGGGGGCAGGGGGCTGCTGTTGGCACCCACATAGCTCACCTCCTCCTAGCTAGGAGTGGTGGTGCAGGGTCTGGAGCAGCAGTAGAGATGGTGTCCCGGAAGCCCCTTCCTCTGGGATGGGAACAGCAGGACAGATGGTGGCCCCAAAGCCCTCTTCTCTTTGCTGGGAATGGTGGGACAGATGGCGGCCCAAAAGCCCTTTCCTTGACCTTCCTTAATTTTTGTTTCATCTGTGAAAGTTTGTCTAAAAGTGCAGGGGTCTATGAGTCAGGAAAAACACACTGGAGACAATCTAGTATTCAACTTTAGAGATAAGGATGCACTTCTTTTATGGTTGAAACTCTTCTATGCAATTGTCAGAACACAGAGTTCAGTACTTTGAATTCCATCTGAAGTCCTGTATTACTGGAAAATAAGAATGACCTCACTATAAGACTTCATTTCTTAGAATATGCTCCTTCAATTGGATTTCACTTCATTCTCAGTTTTTTACTGTTTTTTCTGTAGTGTCATCACTTACATTCCTGTTGTCTCTTGTATATATCTTGGTGAAATTATACCATAGTGGATTTGCTTTTTTCACGATAGGGTGAAAAGTAGTTTTGAGAATTTTCCCAAGTTGAATTTTGGCTGTTAGCTAAACATTTTCTTAGCCTAATTAATGCAAAAGTATGATTATCTTCTGTGGAGAACGGTGTTAGCCATAGAGGCTCCATGTTAAATCTTACCCTCCATTGTACAGAGCTAGGAGACTATGTTATGAGGAACTGAGTCCTTGCCAACTTAGATGTTTACCTTTAGAAATTGTCCTGGAAACATGATGAACGTTCTGTAACCCTGAGAAACAAGAAAGCCCATGAAGGTGGGGAATTTCCAAAGAGCTAGAGAACAAGGAAGCAGGTGTCTTTGGATAAGGGTCATGATTAATGACCAAGCTCACCTATGATATAAAGGGAAGGAGAAAAATAAACGAGTGCTCTCAGTCTCCCTGGGAGCCCTCCCGACTCTATTTCTGTGTTTTTCTTTTTCTTCATCCTCACTCCCCCATTCAGGTGCTGTTCGACAAGTGACGGTGGGCTCCATCAATCTTCAGCCTTAAACATGGTTTATTGTAGGTTTGTATTCCCCACTGCTATTCATTGCTCATGCCATAATTGCTTTTTCTGTGAAAGTTATGAGTTTGTATCATGATCCTATGTATAATTATTTGCAGAGAAAATGAAGATAAAGTAGAAGGATCTAATCATCTGAAAAGAGGAATCAGTAATTAGGCTGTAGAAAACTGAAATTGTTTATAGATGAATTTTTCTTGAGCAAGAAGTCAGAAGTTATTTAAGTGTTTACATCATGTCTCATTAAAAAAAAAGCAGCAATGGCACAGCTAAGAACACTATGCCTTTCTAGCTCTATAGAGTTTTAATAATTTATTTCATGAAACCCAAGTGTTTGTGGAGAATTGAGGATGGTATTGCTAACACTAAATTATCTTTTATAAAAGGCAATAAACAAATCACCTCAAACTGAAGTCTTCTTTGTATGTAAAAGGGATAGAAGTTTTTCCTTTAAAGTCTTTCCAACAAAGATTCATAAAATTTTCTTCTTTTCCTTCTCTTATAGTTTCCTTCCTGACTCACTTACTATAATTCAACCCACACAGTCATTTATAACAAAGTTAACAATTATTTTATTGTAGTTTCAATAAAATTAGGCTAAGGTTTATACAGAATTTTGAGATATTTAAATTAGAGAGTGTCATTTTTATTATATAGATGAGGCATTTCAGTAAGAGGTCAAATAATTTGTTCAGAGTAAGTTAAGTATCACATTTCACTTCTGAGTTCACAATTCTGTTTATATACATTCTTCTTGCTAGATGTACTTTTAGTTGACTAGCTAGTTTCTATGACTTAACATCTGAGTCATTCTTTTATTATTAGTTCACTCAATTTTCTCAACAGACCTGGATGCATATATCCATTTGAGAAATAAGTATTTTTTCTATAAATAAATAATGTTGAACACCAGCTATGTGCCAAGCACTCTGGTTGGTAATGAAGATCCAAATATGAGAAAACCAGGTCTGATACAACCAAGAGCAGTAGTATGGTGTGCACAAATAATTATGCAAATAATCACCTGAATAAGTAATTAACTATGCTAGTTATTTTGAAGTAAAATTGCAGGTTCTCTGGAAGCTAGGGACTGAAGGCATTATATCTGAAAGATGAAAAAAATGGAGCGGTTGTAGCATGGTAGCAGAGAACAATAGACAGATGAAATATAATACTATCTCTCTAGAGGTAATAGAGAGAAAAGATTATTCAAGAAATGGCAAAGTTGTTGAAAGTAGAGAGAAAGTGAAAAATTACTACATGTTGAATCTTGAGACAGGCCAGAGACCAAAGTATAAGGTCACTGATGACCAGTCTTTTCATCTTTATTCTAATAGTATCCTAAGAAAAATAAGAAGCTTTTGAAGAGATAAAGCAGGAAAATGGCTAAGTATAATTTCATTTTTAAATGAGACTATTGTGGTAATTGAAATAAATCAGAACCAGAGGTTAAATATCACATAATGTCTCTTATATGAGAAACCCAAATTATAAATAATTTAAAAAGCAAATTGAGGATGGATTATAGGAAAATGAGGTATACCTTTTGCAGATAAGGAAATAGATCCAAGGATGGAGAAAGATGAGAGGGAAGGTAGGTGAAGAAGAAATAAAAAGTATTAAGATACAAAATTTACATGTATCAATTCCCCATGATGGATGTATCTATTATGTGTCACTAATATTTACTAATCAATAGACTAAAATAAATACAAGAATAAATACATAAATAAAAATAAAAGACTATTCCAATCACAACAAGGAAAATGAATTGGAGAGGATCAAAATAGAAGTAGAGAACTAGTTATATATCTCTTGCACAAGTAGGCAATGGTGGGAGGGAGGATGGGGATGACTGGTATAGCAGACAAGACATTGATATGCCAATGATTGTAGTTTAGCAGACTTCATAACTGTGGAACATTTCTAAAAGTTTTCTTGATTTTTAGAGAAAGGTATTTTTTTTTCAGTTTTGGAATATTTCTTCACAGCCACTAAACCCATTCATCAATATCCTCCTAATTTACCTAACCCTGTGTTTTTAAAAAAAGGTGTACAATATTGTGAATCAGACATCGTGAAGCATGCCTGCAATTCTAGGAGTTTAGGAAACTGAGGCAGGAAAATAGTAAATTTAAGCCTAGTTTGGGCAATTTAGGGACTTAGCAAGACCCTGCCCTCCCCCCAAAACAAAACAAAACAAAATGATGCACTGTGTATGACTGGCTTCTTGAGCTACCTTCTCACTGAAGATGTTTATTCATGTCTTTATTTTTAAATAATCTCTAAAATCTCCAAGCATATCTGCTTATGATGCAACAGTCACTATTGGATGCTGTTAATCAACTTTATATTACTGTAAAAAAAACCCTGAGACAATCAATTTAAAAAATATTAAATCTTATTTTGGTTCACATTTGGAGGTTTCAGTCCAGTCTACGCAGTTGGCCTGTTCCATTTGGGGGTCTGGTGAGGCTGTACATCATAGCGGGATTGTGCGGTAAGAAAGGTTTTTACCTCATAGTTTCCAGGAAAAAAAGGGACAAATTCCCCCTTCAGGGACATGGTCTTAATGATTTCTTTACACCAGGCTTTACCTCTTAAAGGCTCCATCACCTCCCAATAGTGCCACGCTGAAGACCAAGCCTTTAACCCCTGAGCCTTTTGAGGGGACCTTACAGATCCAAACTATATCAGGTGCAGATCACAGAGGTCTAGATATAAACATTTAGAATGACAACTGAAACTATGTCTCATGAATCTGAAACATGTTTGTTCATTTTACCCAGCAGTTTCTCATCTGGAAAACAGTCCTAAAAGAAATAAATTCTAAAGTACTTGAGGCTTTTATGGACAAAGAGCACTAAAGCACTGTTTTCTTAACAACAAAAAGAAAACAAAACTACCTACATATGCAAAAAAACAGGAAAAATATTAAGAAAATTATGGTACAGTATCTGATTATACTTTTCCATATTTTGATTTTAATCTTAATAAGTAACATTGAATAATCATGAAAATAGTTTTTAAAGGCTCAATTTCTCAGTAACTGCACTTACTGATGTAGATGCAAAAGTGTATTTGTGTTTTAATGCTTTTTCTTCAGTCTGAGTTTTCCCAGGGTTTGGATAGAGGGTAAAGGAACATGAAAGCTTAAGTAAGACAAACTTGGTGAGATTATTTTATGAATTAAAAAGCAATGAGTATCTCAGTTTGATGATCCAAATTATATCTCTTGCAATGTCTGACATATGCAGTGGGTTTATGTTAGGTATTCATATAAGTGTATACACCCTTAATAGATTTTATGGGAAGGTCAAATAAAGGACACATTGGGCAGATAATCGGCCCCTAATTTTGAAAAAAAATCCTTCTAAAACCTCATTCCTGATATAGGTACCAGATATAAAGAAAGCACTCATTCAAGAGAAGAGTTGAAACACATGGGATGTTTTAGGCTTAGCAAGCATGAGCAAAGTCAAGAGAGAGATAGGCAGGAATGCAATATTTTGCATAAGGCACGATGCACCTTTTCCATACGGTATTGTGAATACTAGGATTTTTAAAACAGAACTCTATAAAGAGGATGAAGTACATAAAGACAGTTGTGTGAATAAAGCTAATTTCCATTGTTTCTTTAAGATAGCACAGGCACAGAAGCATTGTTTTAAGATCCAACAACTGACAGAACACAAGAGGGAGAGATGACTAAGATAATAAAACAATAAGGAACCTAACCAGAGAAAACTGGTAGTTACAGATGAAGTCATCAGAACTTGAAAGATAGTCCTTAGTGCAAACATGTGACAGGAAGATTTTCTAGGCATAAATAATATTGAACTTTACCCTTTGGGCCTAGAGGAGAGAGGATTTTTTTATTCCTTTTGCAGTAGCCTTATGATATCCTTGACAAGAGAAACCTGAGGAAAAGAGTTGCACAAAATCCTTCTGTTTCCTAACTCCTTCTTAATTTTCCCGACCTAATCACATTACAAAGAGATATTTGGCTCAAAAATAAAGAGATTCAGAATGGTATTATGCTGTTTTTGATTTGGTAGCACCTGCTCCAATTTGCAAATGTAAAATTTGTCTGCTTGTTTAATGTTGGAATCCTTCTTTGACTGTATATTTCATGGAGTCAGATGTCTTTTTTTATTATCACTAGTACTTTGTCCTGGCAGAGTGGTGCTATATTAAATGAAAGGATGGATAGAGTAATAGCATGTGATTAGGCAAGACAATATTAACTGAGGAGAGAAGGAAGAAAGTGAGAAAGTCTGACTAAACAACCATTAAATCACCACTTTTTTTTCACAGTACTCTTCTTTCAAGGATAGTGGGAAGGTCTAGAAAGAAAGCCAGGACCAACCCAATGATGTGAGGTCCTGAGAGAATGGCTTGAGGACTAATATCCTTCAGCAAATTAGTAAGCAACAGTTATAGGAAGCTGGCCTATTTGTCGGGCAAAGAGTATTTGAAAACAAACTAAGAGAATAGAGAAGCCACTAGGAACCTATTCTTAGTAGGGTCAGCTGATATGTAGTTTTAAGAAAAAAGCTGTGTTGAGTACATGTATCCATGTGCCAGCTAGGATAAAGAAGGTTGTGGCTTAGTATCTTTCAAAATATCTGCTAATGTTTGAAATGTCAAAAATCCCAGTATTTAGTCATTACTCCCATAATTTCAGTTTGGCTTTGAGCGCACCCACTTTACTGACTTGAACACAGTTGTTCTCCCCTGATATGACAAATTAAGTTCACTGAGCAATTTTAATATGTCATGAGTAAGTTTTGTGACCCATGCTATGCCACTAAAATGTGCTGTCAGTGATGACTGTTCTAAGAGAAATCTCTGAAGTGGCTCTCATCAATCAAAAACTCTAATCAATGATCTCTCTTTAGAAAGTCAACTCAGTTCTGTGTGAAAGAGATGTATGAACTCTGAGTTCATATCCTCATAGAACTGCATGAACAGACATGAGTTAATGGCATGTTCTTTAATGT